TATATAATTTTTTTTTTCTTATTATTTCATAGGACATGAGACCCAAAAGTTTTAAAACTGCTATTCTAAATAAATCCCTTTCGGGGAAAATGAAGCCCCAAGGGGCTGGTGCTTGGACAGGAGTGCATCATTCAAACTGAACCCCACCCTGCCTAACACACCACTGCGAATGGAACACCAAGGAGCCAAACCCAAGATATCTGACGTGGAGAAGAAAATGGAAACCCAAGAGAGAACTGTTATCCTACACTCCACAGCACCCTCATGCTTGAGCCCAGAAAGCATCGCAGGGGTGCGGGCTGAGCCCAGACGGCAACAGAGGGATGGGGGTGCAGGGCAAGGCCGTGCACATGACGAGCCCGGAGAATAATCGCGGGTAGAACGTCCGGCAGCAAGTGGGTCCACAGTTTACATTTACATATGTGTGAGCGTGTGTGTGTTATTACACACGTACATGTGTGTATGTATATATATTAGACTGGACAGAATCGATGTCCCGTATTAAACTTTAGATAGAATAACACTTTGATTCAAAGTTTTGCTCAATTATCAATAAATATAGTTATTCTTCGATCAAGCACTGCCTTAGTTAGTGTTGCGAGAGCCGCCCATCTGTGAGGAGGTGAGCTTGGAGGGCCGGGTCCAGGCCAGCGCCCAGCTGGGGGCGTGTGTATGTCAGCAGGGCCCCCTCTGCCCCTCTCGCCCTGATGCTGGGGAGTCCGGCCGTGGGCAGAGGGGAGACATCCTCAGGGAAACTCACACCCTTGCAGGGCCTCCAGGGACCCTGACCTGCCATCTGCGAGGGGTGTGTCAGGGCTCCTCTGTGACCCAGAAAGCACACAGTGCCTGGCTTTGTTCTCTGTTCCGGTCGGATGACCCCTTGGGGCGGCTGTCCCCTGGGAAGGCTGAGTCGTGGCTGCTAATGGAACAATCAGGAATGCAGTCATCTCATAGGAGCCTGAGGCCACGAGACACGGGACAGACAGGCCTTCCGGGGTTCTAGAGGGAGACCAGGGCTGTGCCATGGATGCCAGGAGGGTGGGCACAGTCTGGGGATGATGACAGCAGCCCAGTCTCTGTCCAGGAGTGCCCAGAATGGGTACAGAGAGTTGGGAGGAAACTAGACCCTCAGCTCTGGCTCCGATGCCTTTAAGGCCAAACCGACACAGAGTTGTTCGGGTAAAAGCAGGTACGGGAGAGGGAAACCAGGATCTGCGTTCTGCCCGAGCCCTAGGGCTCCAAACTCGGGGCAGGATGAAGGGGAAGCGGCAGGATTGGCCTCCTCTGCTGGACAGAGCCAGTTCCTGTGGTTGCCTGGTCTCAATCCAGTCCCAGAGACCGAGCCGCAGCCCCGCTCATTCCCCAGCTCCCCCAGGCTCTGCTGGCACAAAGGTCTGGCCCCAGCTCATCCCTCTGTCCTCCCTGCCCATCACGTGCCCTGGGCTTGGGCCAAATGGAACCCCATGCTCCTCCGCTACGTGCCTCCTCCCAGCCCATCTCTGCTCCGCTACCCCCTCCCCACTTGGGACGCCATCCCCTCACCACCGTGCCCCTGTGTTCTGGGCCAAACCTGGCCCACCCTTCCTGGTTGGATTAGTTTTCTAAATTTGTTAATTACCATGAATTTAGTGGCTTAAAACAGTACGTCCTTGGGACTTCCCTGGCGGTCCAGTGGTTAAGACTCCGCGTTTCCACTGCAAGGGGCACGGGTTCGATCCCTCGTCGGGGAACTAAGATCCTGCGTGCCGTGCGGCCCGGCCAAAAAAGCCCCGGAAGACACGCTTATGATGTCCCATTTCTGTAGGTCAGGAGTCCTACCCAGGTGTCACTGAACTCAAGTCAGGGTGTCAGCAGGGCCTCCAGAGGAGAGTCTGCTTCCTGGCCTTTTCCAGCCCCTAGAGGACACCACGTTCCTTGACCCGTGGCCCCTTCCTCCACCCTCAGTGTCTTTGGCCCCACTGTGGTCCTCACATCTCTCTCTGAGCAACAACCAGAAGAGCCTCTCCTCTTTTAAAGACCCACCTGATTAGACTGGGCGCACCTCGATAATCCAGGGTCCTCTCGCCATCCCAAGGGCTTTCACCTAATCACATCCGCAAAGTCCTTTCTGCCACGTAAGGTGACATAGTCACAGGATCCAGAATTAGGACATGAACATCTGGGGGGGGCATTATTCTGCCCCGCACCGGCCCAGCTCCGGTAGCCCCCGTGGCCTTCAAAGCATCCTCTCTACCTTCCGGGCTGACTCGGCCCTTGGGCCTCTGTAGATCTCCCTCTCCACAGCTTCCGGCACCCTGGATTGTGCCGGCTTGTTGATTTGTCATTCTCTTGCAATAAATGTCAAGTACCAGGACAGCAGGGACAGGGTCTCTCTTGTCCACTGATATACGCTAGTAACTAGCACAGTGCCGGGCGCATAGTGTTCCAAAAACATTTTAGTGCAGAAACTCTTCTATAGAATTTAACTATATTAAATTACCTTCTGGCTACATGCCTTCTCTACAAGACACACCTTGAAAGCAGGGTTCACATGTGGCTTGTCTGTTGTGTCCCCTGGGGCATCTGGACAGTATTCGGCACACGCTTGTGGAATTGGATTGAATAAAGAGGTTCAGCCTCCTCTCAATGGCCTAGCTCTTAAACGCAGGGCCCACGGAGGACGAGGGAACGTGTGGGAACGAGGCACACTGGGTCGGGTAGGGCTACCTGGGAAAAGTTTCTGGAAGAGAAGCGCTTGGGGCAGAGGTCTGAAAGAGATGCAGGCTGAGGGGGTGATGACATCCTGCCAAGATGACTCGTATGAGCAAAGCCAAGTGTGGGAGACAGCTGGTGCAGGGTAACCAGAGCTCAGATGGGAGGGCCAGGGCTTGGACACCAGGTGGAGGGGTCTCGAGTTGATGCGATAGGGTGCTTGCAGGGATTACAGAGCAGTGAGCGAGGTGCTGAAAACAGGATTGGTTGGAAGACAGGATGGAAGCAGGAGGACAGAGTGCAGTATGCCAGCGAGGCAATGATGGCTGTCCCTTAGGATCGCTGGCATAGACTCGAGGTGGAGACAGGAGAGAACAGAGTCAAAGATCATTTGATGCACACATCCTTGCATTCCTGAAAAGTGCAGGATGATGGTGCACAGAGGAAGCTGGGAGGCCTCGCTTCCATTTTGTGGTGAAGATGGTGAGACCAGGGCTTCCCTGGTGGCACAGTGGTTGAGAGTCCGCCTGCCGATGCAGGGGACGCGGGTTCGTGCGCGGGTCTGGGAAGATCCCACGTGCCGCGGAGCGGCTAGGACCGTGAGCCATGGCCGCTGAGCCTGCGCGTCCGGAGCCTGTGCTCCGCAACGGGAGAGGCCACAACAGTG